AAGTACCCTGGCTGGTGTGTATGGGAAAGTACCCTGGCTGGTGTGTGGCGAAGAACCCTAGCTGGTGTGTGTGGGAAAGTACCCTGGCTGGTGTGTGTGTGTGGGGAAGTACTATGGCTGGTGTGTGTGGGAAAGTACTATGGCTGGTGTGTGGGGAAGTACCCTAGATGGTGTGTGGCAAAGTACCCTAGATGGTGTGTGGCGAAGTACCCTTGCTGGTGTGTGTGGGGAAGTACCCCGACTGGTGTGTGTGGGAAAGTACCCAGGCTGGTGTTTGTGGGGAAGTACCCAGGCTGGTGTTTGTGGGGAAGTACCCTGGCTGGTGTGTGTGTGGGTAAGTACCCTGGCTGGTGTAAGTACCCTGGCTGGTGTGTGGGGAAGTTCCATGGCTGGTGTGTGTGGGGAAGTACCCTGGTTGGTGTGTGGGGAAGTACCCTGGTTGGTGTGTGGGGAAGTACCCTGGCTGATGTGTGTGGGGAAGCACCCTGGCTGGTGTGTGGGGAAGTACCATGGCTGGTGTGTGTGTGGGGAAGTACCCTGGTTGGTGTGTGGGGAAGTACCCTGGCTAGTGCATGTGGGGAAGTACCCTGGCTGGTGTGTGTGGGGAAGTACCCTGGCTGGTGTGTGTGGGGAAGTACCCTGGCTGGTGTGTGTGGGGAAATACCCTGGCTGGTGTGTGTGGGGAAGTACCCTGACTGGTGTGTGTGGGGAAATACCCTGGCTGGTGTGTGTGGGGAAGTACCCTGGCTGGTGTGTGTGGGGAAGTACCCTGGCTGGTGTGTGGGGAAGTAACCTGGCTGGTGTGTGTGTGGAAAGTACCCTGGCTGGTGTGTGTGGGGAAGTACCCTGACTGGTGTGTGTGGGGAAGTACCCTGGCTGGTGTGTATGGGGAAATACCTGCTGGTGTGTGTGGGGAAGTACCCTGGCTGGTGTGTGTGTGGGGAAGTACCCTGGCTGGTGTGTGGGGAAGTACCCTGGCTGGTGTGTGTGGGGAAGTACCTTGGCTGGTGTGTGTGGGGAAGTTCACTGGCTGGTGTGTGGGGAAGTAACCTGGCTGGTGTGTGTGTGGGAAGTACCCTGGCTGGTGTGTGTGGGGAATACCCTGGCTGGTGTGTGTGGGGAAGTACCCCACACACACCAGCCAGGGTACTTACCCACACACACTGCCAGGGTGTACTTCCACACCGCCAGGTACTCCCCACACACCAGCCAGGGTACTTCCCACACACCAGCAAGGTACTTGCCCACACCCAGCCAAGTGTATCCCCACAACCAGCCAGGGGTACTTCCACACAACCACCAGGGTGTATCCCCACACACACCAGCCAGGGTACTTCCCCACACACACCAGGTCTCCCCCACGCCAGGTACTTCCCCACACACCAGCCAGGGTGCTTCCCCACACACACCAGCCAGGGTACTTCCCCACACACACCAGCCAGGGTACTTCCCCATACACACCAACCATGATACTTCCCCACACACACCAGCCAGAGTACTTCCCCACATGCTTCAGCCAGGGTACTTCCCCACATACCAACCAGGGTACTTCCCCACATACCAACCAGACCAACCAGGGTACTTCCCCACACACACCAGCCATGGTACTTCCCTGCACACCAGCCAGGGTGCTTCACCACACACTTCAGCCAGGGTACTTACCCACACACCAGCCAGGGTACTTACACACACACACACACCAGCCAGGGTACTTCCCCACAAACACCAGCCAGGGTACTTCCCCACACACCAGCCGGGGTATTCCCACACACCAGCCGGGGTACTTCCCCACACACACCAGTCGGGGTACTTCCCCACACACACCAGCAAGGGTACTTCGCCACACATCATCTAGGGTACTTCCCCACACACTAGTATGCCTTCTGGTCAATCAATTCAGCACAAGAAACTGCCCTTTCATTTATCAGAAGCATCCTATAAAGTGCCCAAAATTCAATAATTTCTTCACTTTTACACAAAATTCAACAAATTCCAGTTTAACCCTTTGAAGGTCCGTCCCGTAGTTCTACGGCTTTGAAGCCAGGGTCCAAGCCGTAGTACTACATCATGAGCTCAGCTCACTCAGAGAAGCTGTGAATAGTAAATTTAGGGCTAGATGTGAGTGAATGCATCTATATGGTAAGTGTGTACTGTATTAAACAAATCCTACGGCATGCAGTGCGTAATTAGAAAAAACTGCGAACATGTTTTTGGATTAGAAGAGCGACTTTGCGGTGTACAGTGGACCCCCGCATAACGATGGCATCGCATAGCGATTTTTCCGCATAACGATTACTTTTATCGCAAAATTTTTGCCCCGCATACCGATTAAAAACCCGCATACCGATTTTCGTCCGAGACGCGTCCAATGTGCCCTCAGCCAGCCTCACATGTGCCGCTCCGTCCCATTGTTTACCAGCCAGCCTCCGCGGTAACATCCAAGCATACACTCGGAATATTTCGTATTATTACAGTATTTTCGGTGCTGTTTCTGGAAAATAAGTGACCATGGGCCCCAAGAAAGCTTCTAGTGCCAACCCTGTGGTAAAAAGGGTGAGAATTAGTATGGAAATTAAGAAAGATTTTGAAGGGTTTAGGGCTAACCCTGAGAAGCCTATGCCAGTTGTGGAATCCATTGTGCCTACTTCAAAGATTAAGGAAATGTGTGCAGAGTGGGTTGAACTGCAAACCTTTATAGATGAAAATCACCCTGACACAGCTGTTGCAAGCCGTGCTTGTGACTATTTCAATGACAATGTTATGGCCCATTTTAGGAAAGTCTTGAAGGAACGGGAGGTACAGAGCTCTATGGACAGATTTGTTGTGCGACAGAGGTCCAGTGACTCTCAAGCTGGTCCTAGTGGCATTAAAAGAAGAAGGGAAGTAACCCCAGAAAAGGACTTGCTACCTCAAGTCCTAATGGAAGGGGATTCCCCTTCTAAACAGTAAGAAGATAATGCTCTCCCCTCCTCCCATCCCATCAATCATCACCAGATCTTCAATAAAAGTAAGTGTCATGTAATTGTGCATGCCTTTTTCAGTTTGTGTGTATTAAAATTAACATTTCATGTGGTAAAAAAAAATTTTTTTCATACTTTTGGGCGTCTTGCACGGATTAATTTTATTTCCATTATTTCTTATGGGGAAAATTCATTCGCATAACGATTATTTCGCATAACGATGAGCCCTCTTGCACGGATTAAAATCGTTAACCGGGGGTCCACTGTATTTTCATATGGTTTTTATGGTTATATTTGCAATTTCTTGGTCTTGTTTGATAGAATGAAAGATATATTACGGAAATAAAGATGTCTGATTGGTTTTAGTATTGAAAATAACTTGAAATTGAGCTCAAAGTAGCAGAAATGTTCAATTTTTGCTGATGTTCAAGAGTAAACAAATGACGTCACACGTACAATACATGTCAGCTGGTGGGCTTAATATACAGTGGACCCCTGGATTAAGACGTCAGGGCTTACATATGAGAAAATAGGTCTGTGTGTTAAGTGTGCACTATATAAAAAAAAATCCTGCAGCACGCAGTGCATATTGAGAAAAAACTGCGACCATGTTCATGGTGTAAAACCAACTTTGAGGTGTATTTTTGTATGTTTTTTATGGTTGTATTCTCGTTTTTTTTTGTCTCATTTGATAGAATGGAAGATGCATTACAGAAATAGATATTATTATGATTGGTTTCAAGACAGAAAGTACTTGAAATTGAGCTAAAAGAGTGGGAAATGCTCGATTTTTGCTGACGTTCAAGAATAAACAAGTGTCACCATCCAATACGTGTTCAACTGGCCAGTCTAACATGCAGTCACAAATGGGTTGACATTATTTATACAATTATTCCAATAATGCAGTAGTCTGCATAATAGTAACTCTTGTTTTTTTGTGTGAATAAAAATTCAAAATGGAAAGCAAGTGTAATATAAGAGGAGCATGGAGACACGACCAATGAACAGAGAAAATGTTGTTTTAGTGCCAGGAAAGTCTGCATTGTTTATTCTGGACCCTATTTTGAAATTAGCATCTCTTGAAATTTGTGTGAAATTGGCCAAATTACCAACTTCTGACCACTTTATTAGGTAGTTGAAATAGGTAAATGCACAGTGTCTTGTACTCAGTCGACAGAATAGAAGGAATACTAGCAAAATAACTATGAGTTTGGTAGACTGGAACAATGGAATGGGCCAAAATTAGAGCGTAAAGTAGGTGAAATCGCCAATGTGTAAATATCATCGTTGGGTTAAATGTATTCTAATCTAACCATTCTATAATTCAGCAAAATCACTAATCCAGCACCCTACAGATCCTGATGGTGCCAGATTAGTGATGGTCAACCTGTACTACCATCTTGCCAATTGAGTGTGAAACTGAAACCTATAACTGTTTTACATGATGGTAGGATTGCTGGTGTTTCTTCTGTCTCATCAAACATGCAAGGTTTCAGGTACGTCTTGCTGCTTCTACTTACACTTAGGTCACACTACACTTGTATGTACAAGCATATATATACACACCCTACTGTTTTTTCTATTTTCTTATTACTTCTTGTTCTTGTTTAATTCTTCTTATCTCCATGGGAAAGTGGAACAGAATTCTTCCTCCGTATGCCATGCATGTTGTAAGAGGTGACTAAATGCAAAGAGCAAGGGGCTAGTAACCCCTTCTCCTGTATACATTACTAAAGTTAAAGAGAGGAACTCATTTTTCTTTTTGAGTCACCCTGCCTTGGTGGGACATGGCTGGTTTGTTGGGGGAAAAAAAAATTCATGTAAAGTGCTGCATGATGAAAGGGAAGAAAGAGACTGAGGTGTAAGGATGATGATAAGTTGATGAAACAAGCTGGTATCACTCAGGAAAGCAAAATAAAGTTGGTGTGCTCTCTGATAAAATGAGCCAGTAAACAAGATATGTTAAATGGCTCATACTAACATAGTCCACTGTTGAAGGTATTTCAAAAACTCTTAACTGAAAGAAAGGGTTCAACTTACCGTTCCTCATTATGTAATCTTGTACACCAGTCCACAATATATTTTACATCTTCATCTTCAATCTTGAGAAAACTCTGGGGCCGCACTCCCTGAAAAAAGTAAACATTTAGAATCTTTTAAATGCTTATTCCATTAACTGATAAATTTGTTCATTTTATTAAAAATTTTCTTTAAACAGACAGCAAGCTGTGCAAAAAAAGCTTTTCATAAAAGAATTTTGAGTAAGTTTACTTAATGTCTGTGATATACCTGTAACTGATTTCAAGAGTTGTTCTAACTCCCCCCCCCCCCACACACACACACACACACACACACAGCCCAGCCTGGGGTCAGGCTTCTCTGCTGACCTTAAGCAAGTTTTGACTTTTCAGAATAAATCTAGAATTGCCCATTAATTATTATTTGAATACGATAGACAATCTAACTTTCAAAGACCCCCTCATCCTCCTCCTCCCTATTAGTTCATTAAATCAATAGTTCACTGTATTCATAGTAATGTTACCCAGAGTCCTGAGAGTGAGAAATAAAGTGCTCACATCCTGAATGAGAGGTGAGGATGTTGTAGTTCAGAGAGTCATTTGAATGAAGTTTGGAGAGTCAGCCGAGTTGTGATTTTTGTGCACTTCTAGTACGACAACTACTGAGTATATGTTAGTGAATGTTTCTTTTTATGGGTCATACTATCTTTGTGGGAAACAGCCAAAGTGGCTAAAAACAAGGAAAAAAAAAAAAAGATATGGATCAATTTCAGTGCAATCCATTACTTTATTCATTTCCACCTCAAACTGAAAATTTTGAAAGTGAATAAATTTCTCTATAAGGGGTGCAATGCATTAGCACTTGAAGAGGCTAAGCTTATCACTTGGCTGAGATATTACTACATACAATACATGCACTAATTTTAGTTCACTGTGGGGTCAGCAGGCAAGCAGCAGACAAGCCTGGCCCATGACTGTGCTTTGGGAGAAGACAAACTCTCAGAACTCATCAAAGGTATATCAAAGGTAACTAATCCTCAGAAAGTGTGAAAAAAAATATATATTATCCCCTAAAGTTAAATTACAGCACAAATACTTCTTCAGATTACATACAGGTTACACACAGTAAAGAATGTGAACATTAACTGACCGTGGTAACCTTCTTGTAAATCTGAGCTGGGCCCGAGCACTCTTTGTATGGATACTCCAACGTTGCCATCTCCATCATACACATACCAAAGGCATAGACATCCACCATTTCATCATAATGTTCCTCGTATACCTCTGGGGCCATGAACTCTGGTGTGCCTGTAATACAAAAGAACAACACAGCTAATAAACCTTTTGTAAAGCCTATTCAAAAACAATGGAACTTGTACAATCCACAACTAAGATTATGACTTCCATAACAGTACAAAACAATCTGACATCAATACAAGATATCTAAAACTCCAGGAAATGTTCAAATGATGTGCAGGACTGTCTCAGAGTCAGTTCATTGTTTGGTAGTTAGTAGAGTAGAAGACAACAGACACAGACTAGTAATGGAATCATCCACCACAATATGAGAATTGAATGGCTATGTTTGAAAAGTCAGAGATGCACTAAAATAATATCTAATTCTATCCAGAAGACACGTCAGTTAGACTGGGAAAGTAAAAATAAATGACCTCTCCAATCAGATCCACTGCAATTTCAGCTTAACACAATGAACATTGCAAAATAGGACAGCACGGTCGATATGCTAAACGAAATAATGTAGAACGCTGTCTTCCGGAAGGAAGATGCAAATTAAAAGTCTATAACAACTACTGTAAGTTCTCCAAGGTGCGGTCTTAGCTGAGCAGAGACAGGTAGCCAAATGGGACTGGTAGCCTATGTCATGTCTGGTACTGACACTAACAGGAGCATCAGTTCACACAGAAGGTAAACAAAATGGCATAATGGGTGAATAAATTGTTTAGTAGTCTATAACTGGTGCTAAAAAAACAGGTTGCTATTCCTATCATGATTCATGGAACCTGAACACAAGAAATATAATTAATTTACACTGTTATGGAAACCAATCTTACTCACTGCAGCTTAATACCTGACTTGGCTTCCCATTTGTAAGCCTGATAAGTCTACCTGTTGTTACAAGTAAAGGCAGCACAACCCAGATGATCTATGTTTTTTTGAAAATGGCCTTATATATTAATAAGTCCCTATATTTTTTACTGGAAATATGCTGAAAAACCTCAAGACCAAAAAAAATATGCTCTTTTGATGCAAACAACACAACCTTCGTTCAATGTAGCTATTTTATATATACTAATGCCTTACATCACAGTTAGGAATCATATCAGTTTCCAAATTGCAAAGTCACACTAACAAAAAGGAGAGAAGGAGGGGGTATATATATAGGCCAGCACAGGGATGGGAGCAAGAGAGGTAGTAGTGGAGGTAGTAGTAGTGGTAGCAGAGTCAGTCAAATACTAAGAAAGAGGAGCACAGCAAGGGAGCTAGGAGCCCACAGAGGGTAGGAGCAAGAACACAGGGGGTGAAAAATAAAATAAAAATAATAAAGAACAATACCCAAGGCATAAGAAAGAAACCCCAAAGGAGAAAGAGGAAAGAGGTAATGGGGAAGAGGGAGAAGGGGAAAAAAGTATCAGGTTAAGTCACAGGTGTTCTAAAGTTTGGAGCATTTTACAATATAATGGGAAAGGAAGGTACCTACAGAGACAAAGACAGGACTGAAATTCATACAAGGAAAGTTGAGTATAAGGGAGGATTCAATCAAATGTGACTGTGAAAGTTAGAAGTAGGGTAGATAGTTTTAGCAGAAGACCGATCAATAGCAAGACTGATCTCTGACATGACAGAAAAGAGCATTGTTGGTGTCGGCAAGCCTAACACTACTTTTGTGCTCCTTAAGTCTGTCAGAAAGAGATCAGTCAGTTTCTCCACAGTACCGAAGAGGACAGGAGGAACAAGAAATAGAGTAGACACCACGAGCATCTATAGAGGTATGAACTAGATTAGTGTGAAAAGTGTTAGTCTGGCAAAAAAGTAAGTTTAATGTCTAAGGAACGGAGTGAGTTGTTGAGATTAGAAAGACCGGAAATGTAGGGAAGGCAGTGGACAGAAGAGTTCCCAGGAGTAGAGAGTTTGGGAGAGAAGAAAGTTCATTTAGCACGTGAGAAGGCAGAGTCTATGAAATGGGAAGCATAGCCAAGACAGGAAAATGAATTATGAAAAGTGAAAATTTCTGATTCAAGGAATTGAGGATCATAAATGTGGAGAGTGCAAAGAAAGAGGGAGATAAGAACACTTTTCTTGACAGAGGAAGCATGAAAAGAAAAGTAGTGAATGTACATGCCACTGTGCATAAGCTTGCGGTACACAGAAAAGGCAAAACCTGTATCTGAGTGGTGGACATGAACATCAAGGAAAAGAAGCAAAGAATTAGATTCTCATTCAGCTTTCAACCTAATGGAAGGGGCAAGATTATTAAAAGCATCAAGAAATGGTTGGAAAAGACTAGAGTCATGAGGCCAAAGAGCAAAGATGTCATCTACATAGCAGGGCCAGAGTCTCATCTCAAACAGCCCTTGGTCTAAATTCTCCCTTACCGACTGTGTTACAAATCTGTTTTCTGTCACACTTTCTCAACTTGAGCTTGAACTTCTTGGTTTTGGTCTTTCCTCTGCCACTTTACCTACCCCTCGTACTGGTACTGACCTGATTAGCTCTTTTGATTCTTTTCATCAGTCTTACTCTCGTAATCTTCCGGACTTGTCCACTTTTTGTGGCGCTCTCCTTCCTGCTCTTGATAGCCTGTTTTCTAAGAACCACCACCTGCCGCTCCGCTATCAACTTGCCCTTTCTTTTCTTAAATCTAACGTTAACTTTGTCATACTCTCTTCTGACAAAGGTAATTCAGCAGTTATCCTTGATCACGAAGATTACTTCTGTAAAGCTATATCTTGTTCTCTGACTCATGTACCTACACTCCTCTCATTTCCAACCCTCTCGATCACATCAAGAGAACTTTCAACAAGAAACTAGGGACTCTCTCCGACCTCTGTCCTCCTGACTTTGACCTTGTTCAACGTTTTCGTGTCATCTGTCCCACTCGGCCCTATATCTATGGCCTTCTGAAAAAACTCATAAACCTGATATTCCTCTGCATCCCATCATGTCCTCTAGAGGTTCTGTCTCTTATTCTCTTGCTTCTTGGCTGGCAAAAACCCTCACTCCCTTTCTTGGTACTTTTTCTCCTGCCCACCTTTGCCACTCTAAAGACTTTATCGAACGGGTTCGCTTTCTCCCGACCTGTAAGATGCTTAGTCTTGACGTTGAGGCCCTCTTCACTAATGTCCCTCTTAATTATGACCTGAATTTTCTCAGAGAGAAGGCCAATGAAGGGTTACTTCATCTCCCTATACCTACTTATGTCTTTCTTGATCTTATCCACCTTTGTGTGGACTCAAATTCCTTACCCTTCCAAGGTAAATACAGTGGACCCCGCATAACGATTACCTCCGAATGCGATCAATTATGTAAGTGTATTTATGTAAGTGCGTTTGTACGTGTATGTTTGGGGGTCTGAAATGGACTAATATTTCTTATGGGAACAAATTCGGTCAGTGCTGGCACCTGAACATACTTCTGGAGTGAAAAAATATCGTTAACCGGGGGTCCACTGTACACCTACCATCCGACTTACGACCTGCTCGACATACGACCACTCGACTTCCCAAATTTCTGGGAAATAAACAACTATTTGTGTTGCACACAGTGTTTATCCTAAACCTTACAATATAAAATACAGTACTAACAGCATAAAAAGTAAAGAAAAACATGAAATACCAAAATGAACCAATAAAATAAAGTCATTACAAAAATGTGATGCTGATATTCAGTAGTAAAGTTCAACTTACGTCCATTTCGACTTAAGATCGGTTTCTTGGAACCGAACTCGGTAGTAAGTCGGATGGTAAGTGTATTATTCTCAAACCTTTGGTGTTGCTATGGGCTCTCCTCTATTTCCTGTTCTTGCTAATCTTCACATGGAATACTTCGAAACTGTTCTTCTTCCTACTATTGATGTGCGCCCTTCACTCTGGCTCCGCTATGTAGATGACATCTTTGCTCTTTGGCCTCGTGACTCTACTCTCTTCCAACAATTTCTTGATGCTCTTAATAATCTTGCCCCTTCCATTAAGTTTAAAGCTGAATGGGAATCTAATTCCTTGCTTCCTTTCCTTGATGTTCATGTCCACTGTTCAGGTAAAGGTTTTGCCTTTTCCGTGTGCCGCAAGCCTGTGCACAGTGACATGTACATTCACTACTCTTCTTATCATGCTTCCTCTGTCAAGAAAAGTGTTCTGATCTCCCTCTTTCTCCATGCTCTCCACATCTGTGATCCTCATCCTCAGTTTCTTGAATCAGAAATTTCCACACTTCATAATTCATTTTCCCGTCTTGGCAACCATTCCCATTTCATAGACTTTGCCTTCTCACGTGCTAAATGGACTTTCTTCTCTCCCAAACTTTCTACTCCTGGGAACTCTCCTGTCCTCTGCCTTCCTACATTTCCCGTCTTTCTAATCTCTACAACTCTCTCCATTCCTTAGACATCAAACTTACTTTTTGCCAGACTAACACTCTTCACACTAATCCAGTTCATATCTCTCCTCCCTCTATATATGCAACTGGTGTCTACTCTATTTCTTGTTCCTCCTGTCCTCTTCAGTACCTTGGAGAAACTGGCCGATCTCTTTCTGACAGACTTAGGGAGCACGAAAGTAGTGTTAGGCTTGCCGACATCAACAATGCTTTTTCTGTCATGTCAGAGATACAGTCATCCTACTGACTGATCTTCTGCTAAAACTGCTTACCCTGCTTCTAACTTTCAAAGTCGCCATTTGGTTGAATCCTCCCTTATACACAACTTTCCTTGTATGAATCTTTCCCACTATACAGTGGTATCCCGAGTTTCGGCCATAATTCGTTCCAGAAGGCTGTACGAGTGCTGTTACCGAACAAATTTCTTCCCATAAGGAATAATGTAAATTAGATTAGTTCGTTTTAGACCCCAAAAATACACTTACAAAAGCACTTACAATAATACGCTTACATAAATGTTCGAGTTGGGAGCTGTATGAAACTCGGGGTACCACTGTATTGCAAAATGCTCCAAACTTCAGAGCACCCGTGACTTAACCCGATTCTTTTTTCCCCCTTCTCCCTCTTCCCCTTTCCTCTTTTTCCTTTGGGTTTTCTTTCTTCTGCCTTGGGTATTTGGTCTTTATTATTATTTTATTATTTTTTTTTTTTATCACACTGGCCGATTCCCACCAAGGCAGGGTGCCCCGAAAAAGAAAAACTTTCACCATCATTCACTCCATCACTGTCTTCCAGAAGGGTGCTTTACACTACAGTTTTTAAACTGCAACATTAACACCCCTCCTTCAGAGTGCAGGCACTGTACTTCCCATCTCCAGGACTCAAGTCCGGCCTGCCGGTTTCCCTGAACCCCTTCATAAATGTTACTTTGCTCACACTCCAACAGCACGTCAAGTATTAAAAACCATTTGTCTCCATTCACTCCTATCAAACACGCTCACACATGCCTGCTGGAAGTCCAAGCCCCTCGCACACAAAACCTCCTTTACCCCCTCCCTCCAACCTTTCCTAGGCCGACCCCTACCCCGCCTTCCTTCCACTACAGACTGATACACTTTTGAAGTCACTCTGTTTCGCTCCATTCTCTCTACATGTCCGAACCACCTCAACAACCCTTCCTCAGCCCTCTGGACAACAGTTTTGGTACCCCCGCACCTCCTCCTAACTTCCAAACTACGAATTCTCTGCATTATATTCACACCACACATTGCCCACAGACATGACATCTCCACTGCCTCCAGTCTTCTCCTCGCTGCAACATTCATCACCCATGCTTCACACCCATGTAAGAGCGTTGGTAAAACTATACTCTCATACATTCCCCTCTTTGCCTCCAAGGACAAAGTTCTTTGTCTCCACAGACTCCTAAGTGCACCACTCACCCTTTTCCCCTCATCAATTCTATGATTCACCTCATCTTTCATAGACCCATCCGCTGACACGTCCACTCCCAAATATCTGAATACATTCACCTCCTCCATACTCTCTCCCTCCAATCTGATATCCAATCTTTCATCACCTAATCTTTTTATCCTCATAACCTTACTCTTTCCTGTATTCACTTTTAATATTCTTCTTTTGCACACCCTATCAAATTCATCCACCAATCTCTGCAACTTCTCTTCAGAATCTCCCAAGAGCACAGTGTCATCAGCAAAGAGCAACTGTGACAACTCCCACTTTATGTGTGATTCTTTATCTTTTAACTCCAGCTTTTGCCAAGACCCTCGCATTTACTTCTCTTACAACCCCATCTATAAATATATTAAACAACCATGGTGACATCACACATCCTTGTCTAAGGCCTACTTTTACTGGGAAATAATTTCCCTCTTTCCTACATACTCTAACTTGAGCCTCACTATCCTTGTAAAAACTCTTCACTGCTTTCAGTAACCTACCTCCTACACCATACACCTGCAACATCTGCCACATTGCCCCCCTATCCACCCTGTCATACGCCTTTTCCAAATCCATAAATGCCACAAAGACCTCTTTAGCCTTATCTAAATACTGTTCACTTATATGTTTCACTGTAAACACCTGGTCCACACCCCCTACCTTTCCTAAAGCCTCCTTGTTCATCTGCTATCCTATTCTCCATCTTACTCTTAATTCTTTCAATAATAACTCTACCATACACTTTACCAGGTATACTCAACAGACTTATCCCCCTATAATTTTTGACTCTCTTTTGTCCCCTTTTCCTTTATACAAAGGAACTATGCATGCTCTCTGCCAATCCCTAGGTACCTTACCCTCTTCCATACATTTATTAAATAATTGCACCAACCACTCCAAAACTATATCCCCACCTGCTTTTAACATTTCTATCTTTATCCCATCAATCCCGGCTGCCTTACCCCCTTTCATTTTACCTACTGCCTCACAAACTTCCCCCACACTCACAACTGGCTCTTCCTCACTCCTACAAGATGTTATTCCTCCTTGCCCTATACACGAAATCACAGCTTCCCAATCTTCATCAACATTTAACAATTCCTCAAAATATTCCCTCCATCTTCCCAATACCTCTAACTCTCCATTTAATAACTCTCCTCTTCCATTTTTAACTAACAAATCCATTTGTTCTCTAGGCTTCCTTAACTTGTTAATCTCACTCCAAAACTTTTTCTTATTTTCAACAAAATTTGTTGATAACATCTCACCCACTCTCTCATTTGCTCTCTTTTTACATTGCTTCACCATTTATTATTATTATTATTTTATTTTCCCCCCACCCGTGTTCTTGCTCCTACCCTCTGTGAACCCCTAGCTCCCATGCAGTGTTCCTCTTTCTTAGTATTTGAGTGACTCCACTACCACGACTACTACTTCCTCTCTTGCTCCCATCCCTGTCTACTGGCCTATATATACTCCCTCCTTCTCTCCTTTTTGTTAGTGTGACTTTGTAAATGGTCAAAGTTGGACCAAAACGTCATCATTGTGTGGGTACTGTGCCAGTCACAGTATTGTGCCTTGTTTTGTTATCAATAGTCTGTACACTCTAATAATGAACTACAGTGGACCCCCGGTTAACGATTTTAATCCGTGCAAGAGGGCTCATCGTTATGCGAAATAATCGTTATGCGAATTAATTTTCCCCATAAGAAATAATGGAAATAAAATTAATCCGTGCAAGACGCCCAAAAGTATGAAAAAAAAATTTTTTTACCACATGAAATGTTAATTTTAATACACACAAACTGAAAAAGGCATGCACAATTACATGACACTTACTTTTATTGAAGATCTGGTGATGATTGATGGGATGGGAGGAGGGAGAGCATTATCTTCTTACTGTTTAGAAGGGGAATCCCCTTCCATTAGGACTTGAGGTAGCAAGTCCTTTTCTGGGGTTACTTCCCTTCTTCTTTTAATGCCACTAGGACCAGCTTCAGAGTCACTGGACCTCTGTCGCACAACAAATCTGTCCATAGAGCTCTGTACCTCCCGTTTCTTCAAGACTTTCCTAAAATGGGCCATAACATTGTCATTGAAATAGTCACAAGCACGGCTTGCAACAGCTGTGTCAGGGTGATTTTCATCTATAAAGGTTTGCAGTTCAAACCACTCTGCACACATTTCCTTAATCTTTGAAGTAGGCACAATGGATTCCACAACTGGCATAGGCTTCTCAGGGTTAGCCCCAAACCCTTCAAAATCTTTCTTAATTTCCATACTAATTCTCACCCTTTTTACCACAGGGTTGGCACTAGAAGCTTTCTTGGGGCCCATGGTCACTTATTTTCCAGAAACACCACCGAAAACACTGTAATAATACGAAATATTCCGAGTGTATGCTTGGATGTTACCGCGGAGGCTGGCTGGTAAACAATGGGACGGCCGGCACATGTGAGGGCACATTGGACGCGTCTCGGACGAAAATCGGTATGCGGGTTTTTAATCGGTATGCGGGGCAAAAATTTTGCGATAAAAGTAATCGTTATGCGGAAAAATCGCTATGCGATGCCATCGTTATGCGGGGGTCCACTGTATTTGATATTACTGGACAAAACAACAGTGTCGCTGCAATTGCTACACCTCACCCCTCACATTACTGATGTTGCTAGAGTACAGAACAATAAGAACATAGAACAGGATACACTTAACTGGAAATGTACTGTGATTAATCCCTCCTACACAAAAGCAAGTAACTACATTTTGCTTCAATCATTATCAGGAGGCTAGATTTTTAACTGAACGAAGTAATATTCTTAGTACATTACAGGTTGTCATTCGTTAACATCAGACATGAAAAGATTCCTTATAAATTTAACCTTAGTTAAATTTAAAAAATGAGGGTATAACAACAATTTTGAATCCTTAGAAAAATAATGTACCGTACAAAAAATAATTATAAAATCAAACTTACCAATTACTGATTTAGCACATGATCTATTTTTAAGTGTGGCAAGCCCTAGATCTCCAATTTTTACAGAGCCTGTTGTTCCGGTGACAAAAATGTTGTCGCACTTGAGATCTCGATGTATGATGGGAGGAGAACGTGAGTGAAGAAACTGTAGCCCCTTTAATATCTGCCGGCACCAGCTTTTCAGTACCTTTAGGTTGACCTTCCGTAAACGACGTAGATATCTGAAGAGCAGTTAACACATCATTCATAAAGTATACTGCATGTGATGCATAGTTTATTTTTAATAATAATGAGCATTGGAAATGAACAATTTTGAGACAAAGTTGCAATTAATATGACTTCAATAACTACTATATTATATACAGTACAATATGTATGAGGATAGTGAGGCTCAGGTTAGGGTGTGTAGAAGAGAGGGAGAATACTTCCCGGTAAAAGTAGGTCTTAGACAGGGATGTGTAATGTCACTATGGTTGTTTAATATATTTATAGATGGGTTGTAAAAGAAGTAAATGCTAGGGTGTTCGGGAGAGGGGTGGGGTTAAACTATGGGGAATCAAATTCAAAATGGGAATTGACACAGTTACTTTTTGCTGATGATACTGTGCTTATGGGAGATTCTAAAGAAAAATTGTAAAGGTTAGTGGATGAGTTTGAGTATGTGTCTAAAGGTAGAAAGTTGAAAGTGAACATAGAAAAGAGTAAGGTGATGAGGGTATCAAATGATTTAGATAAAGAAAAATTGGATATCAAATTGGGAGGAGGAGTATGGAAGAAGTGAATGTTTTCAGATACTTGGGAGTTGACGTGTTGGCGGATGGATTTATGAAGGATGAGGTTAATCATAGAATTGATAAGGGAAAAAAGGTGAGTGGTGCGTTGAGGTATATGTAGAGTCAAAAAACGTTATTGAGGGGAGGCAAGAAGGGAATGTATGAAGTTAGTAGTATAACATTACTTATGAGATGTGAAGCTTGGGTGGTAAATTCAGTCACGAGGAGACGGTTGAAGCAGTGGTGATGTCATGTCAAAGGGCAAGTGTTGGTGTAAATATTATGCAGAAATTCGGAGGGGAAATTAGGGAAGGTGGGAGTTAATAAAAGCATTGGTCAAGGGCAGTAAGAGGGTAGTGTAGGTGGTTTGGTCATTTTAGATGAGAAATGGAATCAAAGTAGAATTGACATATGGAAAGCATCATATAAATCTATAAGGGAAGGAGAGGGTAGGGCGTCGTCCTCAAAATGGTTAAAGAGGGGTAAGGAGGTTTTGTGGGCGAGGGCTTGGTTCCAGCAAGCGTGCATGAGCGTCTTGATAGGAGTGAATGAGAGACGAATGAATACTTGGGACCTACGATCTTTGGAGTGTGAGCAGGGTAATATTTAGTGAAGGGATTCAGGGAAACCGGTTATTTTCATATAGTCGGACTTGAGTCCTGGAAATGGAAGTACATGCCTGCACTTTAAAGGAGGGGTTTGGGATATTGGCAGTTTGGAGGGATATGTTGTGTATCTTTATACGTATATGCTTCTAAACTGTTGTATTCTGAGCACCTCTGCAAAAACAGTGATAATGTGTGAGTGTGGTGAAAGTGTTGAATGATGATGAAAGTATTTTCTTTTTGGGGATTTTCTTTCTTTTTTGGGTCACCCTGCCTCGGTGGGAGACGGCCGACTTGTTGAAAAAAAAAAAAATGTATAGTTGAAGTACATGCTTGTTTTACATGATGGTAGGATTGCTGGTGTCTTTTTTCTGTCTCATAAACATGCAAGATTTCAGGTACGTCTTCCTACTTCTACTTGCACTTAGGTCACACTACACTTGCCTGTACAAGCATATATACACACCTCTGAGTTTTCTTCTATTTTCTTACTAGTTCTTGTTCTTGTTTATTTCCTCTTATCTCCATGGGGAAGTGGAATAGAATTCTTCCTCCGTAAGCCATGTGTGTCGTAAGAGGCAACTAAAATGGTGGGAGCAAGGGGCTAGTAACCCCTTCTGATGTATACATTACTAAAGTTACAAAGAGAAACTTTTGTTTTTCTTTTTGGGCCACCCTGCTTCAGTGGGAAATGGCCATTTTGTTGAAAGAATGAAAGAAGAATGTATAGTTGAACTCCTAAATTCCAGAGCTTCACAATTCAAAAGATGTGATCATAAAATGTTTTTAGCAAAGGGAATATCTAACCATTAGTTTTCTTTCACACTGTGCTCACCATCCAGCCACTGCAGAAGGAACCAGGACAATACAGCAGTGAGAATAATCAATAAATCATATAAAATAAACATTAAGTGAGATTCTTATTAACCCTTAAACTGTCCATACATAGATTTACGTTCACCCGTGTAGTGCTCCGAATGTAGATCTACATTTTATTTTACATGCTTTTAAATGTATAACAAAAAAATGCAGATCTATGTTCAGAATGCTACAAAATGTTTTCATTTTCTGAAGATTTGTCTCTAACTTATAGTACAACTAACTATCTGGAGTGCCAGAAATGTTTGGCAACACCAGTGTATTCCTTGAAATGGGAAAGTGTGAAGAACAGGAAGGGAAGAAGAAAGAAAGAAAAAGGGGAAAAATAAAAAAAAAAAAAAAAAGGGAGATTAAAAAAACATTTTTAGGGGGAGCAAGATGAAGTTTAAATTTTTATTAAAATTTTTTTATAAAAAAATTGGATAATTTTTAAAAAATCCTTTTGTCCCTTTCCCCAGTGTCCCTACTTTCCCATTTTCTACTGATCCCAAATTTGGCCCAACCCCCCGTGTTTCGAAATTTAAAAACAAAAGGAAAAAAAGAAAAGTGTAACCCCAGGGGGAAAAAAAAGTTTTTTTGGGGAAAAAATTAGGGAATTGTTTACCCCTAATTCCCCATTTTTCTTTCATTTATTTTTGAAAATTAAGCCCCTTCTTTTGGGGTTTTTCAGTGTCAATTTAAAACCCCTGTTTTTCCAGGGAAAAATTCATGCCCTTTCCACCTACATTTTTGAAAACCCTCGGGTTCCCCTTATAATTGGTTTTAAATTTTATAGGGTATAAAGTTTTGTTTTCCCCCCAAATTTTGATGTTTAAAAAGGGCAAAAATTTTTTTTTTGGGGGGGAAAAAGGGAACTCAATACTTCAGTTATCTGTATGGAACCCCCTTTTATTTAAGGTTAAATTATCAGAAATCTTTCCCTTTAAAAATTTTTAAATTAATTTTTAAAATTATATAGTTTTAAAATGAATAAAAAGTGAAATCTGACATTAGTTACATTCGAGTTCCTTAAAACTTTTAAAAAAAATTTTTCCAGCTATGAAAAAATCCTGGCTAGAAGGTCCCTAGTAAATAAAATTAAATTATTTCGTACTTCAAAAAGGGGTTCTAAAATATTTTTATATAAAAAGCAAAAAATAAATTTTTTGAATTTATTGAATATGCCCCAATGTGCTTTAAACAGTATTCAATAATTTATATAAATTTAATGGACCCCCAAAAATTTCCCTCCAATGCACCAATTTAAAATGAAAAAGGGGTTTTTTGTTTTTTGGGGTCCAAAAGGGAACATAAAAACTGGGGGAAAAATTTTAGGAAACCAACAATTTTCAATAAAAAATTGTTAATTTCCATTACGGGATTTAAACCCCCCTTTTTTTTTCAGTCGTAATATGTTTAACCCCCTTTTAAAAAAAAATTTTATTTAAAAAAAAAAAGGGGGGCCCCGGGAAGGAATGGGGTGTGGTCATGTCCCCAATAAAAAAAAACCGCACACAAGTGCTTTGGGGAAAAAAAAAAACAAGTTTTTTTTGGTTTAAAAGGTTTTTGGGGGAGTTTCGTATAGTTTTAGATTGTTTATTTTTTCCCTTTGGGCTCATTTATAGAATGGAAAAAATATTTTAGAAATAGAGGTGATTTGATTGGTTTTATAGAAAAAAACCTTGAAATGAAGCTCAAAGTAGGGGGGAAAGGTTTGTTTTTCCCCCGTTCAAAAGTAAACAAAAGATTCATTTCCCAAAAAATGCCAACTAGCCATTCTAATATGCATCTGAAAAGGTTGACATTATTTTACCAAATTTTTAAAATACTGAGAGTCTGCATAACAAAAAAACTTCTATTTTTTGTTTGAATAAAAATTCAAAAAAGAAAGCAAAAAAAAAGCAAGTCCCAGGCCCCCGGGGGCCTGGAGACGTGACTGGAAAAAAGAAAAATTTATTTGGCCCGGAAATTTTGCCCTTTTTCTTCTGAACCCATTTTTAAATTGGGATATTTAAATTTGCGTGAAAATTTGGCCCCAAAATTTCAAATTTTTTTGACCCTGTTATTGGGTAGTTGTGAACGTAAATGGGGCATTCTTGAAATCAACGATGGGAAAAAAGGAGTTCTAAAAAAACAGCTTGAGTTTTCGACGGAAAAATGGAAAATTTGCGAAAATAGGGTCAAAGGGCAAATCGCCGTTCGTAAAATCGCCAAGGGTTGCTAAAATTTTGGAGGGTAATTCCCTAAGTTTTCCCTAAAATTTATTCCTTTTGGGGTCTACACAGGGAAAAAAAATTTTCCATCTTTTCAAAAATTTTTTTTTTTTTTTTCAAAAATTTTTTTTTACACCAAGAGACACCTCAGGATTTGGGGTTGCGACAGTAAAGGGGGTTAACTCAGCATTATAACAGGTTATCAAATGAATATGACGATATCTGTAACAAGCACGCCATAAAATCGACCTTTGAAAACCGCATGATGTAATATTTATAACGAGCACTGCCAAAAAAAACCCAAAAAAGAATACAGTGCGATTTATAATTAGTCACACTGAATTGGGTTTGGGTTTCCGGAGATGTTTCCCTTTTTTAAGTTAAGAGCACTACATGTCTGCCGTAAAGCCAAACCAAACATGCCCAGGCACCTGTTATCGGTATGCTATTTGCAGTACTTTTGAACTTATCAGGGTATCGAGCTCGTTTCTTCTTACAAAAATTTATAAAAAAAAGAAACTTTTTTTGGGGTTAAAAATAGAGAAACGAATGTCAAGTAAACAACTTTTAACTTTTCAAAAAATTTGTTTCTCATTTCACTATTATTTTTCAGGAAGAAAAGGGGGTTTCTTATTTCTTGGAAAAAAATGAAGAATAAAAATCAGAAAACATGCTGAAAAAAGAAAACACACCGTAACCTCAAACAAAACGGAAATTTAAAACTAAAAAATTTTCAGCTTTTTCGGGCCAATAAATAAATTGAAAATCCGATGAAACCCCG